TTTTTTTAAAAGAAAAAAAAAAAAAAGTAAGAAAGGAGATAGAAAGTGTGCTGTGCACTTAATTAGTAGTTGCATTTTGAAAGGTCCAGGGCCCCCAAATTCCCTTTCACAAAATGTATGATCAACGACATGGGTCCCGAAGGCCATAAAGTATGAAAAAGATGTGTCGTGAGTCCCACCAAGCTGGGGGTTGGGGAGCCAAGGGAGTTGCTGCACTCCTGACTCCTTCCATGAAGCAAAATGTGTAACGTTCCTTTCACTTCCAATTGATGAATATAAAAAAAAAAAAATTTGGTTTTGTTTCTATTGCATTCAGTTTTGGACCACTGCTCCCCCTAACCAACTCAGTAATTCATAATGGTGATAGCAAGATGAGTACAGCCAATTCAAATCGTATATCTAAAAATCAAAAAGTTATATTAGAGATCGTATTTGTTGGAGAAAAATTAGGTGAAATTATATAACTTGAGTTGGTTTATTTAAGTTGAATCTAGTTCAATTATGAGGTATATATATTTTTATCAATAACTTATGAATTTGAGTAAAAAAAAATTTGATTTTACTTAAATAATATTGTAAATTTATATCTTGTAAATGAAAAAATAAATGCAGAGAAAGTTTTTTCTTATAAAATCTTATACGACTTGATTTTAAATTAATCAATATCTAATTTGATTGTTAGATATTGAGATATTTGTAAGAAACAAATTATATATATTTTTTGCCATAATGATTAATTAGTATAATTAGTACTACTATAAAAATTTAGGTATTATAAAAAAGTTTTTGATCGAGTTATGCTTGAGAATATATATTGAATTCAAAATTTAACTTGTTTAATTAAAGGGTCATAAGTTGAGCGCAACCTACGTGCAAGTAACTTGACATGTTAACTTATACCAAAAAAAAACCTTGACAAGTTAACGTCCCCTATACAATGACTGAATGACTCATCAAAGTTGCGTAAGTATGTCCTTTTACTTTTATTTTTGTTTTATTTTTATTGTAGTAGGTATATTCTCTTTAAAGCTCTTTGATTTGAGGTAAAAATAATAGTGAAATACCTAGGTCCTAGAGAGATCTGACATGGTCAAGATAATAATGGAACCAAGATGCCAAAGCCTTTGCCTCCGACATGGGGTTGGTGGGGTAACCTACACCAAGTAAAATTTCGGTGTAATATTATATATATATTTATTTTTTTTAAAGTCAAAACTATATATAGACGTGATTGATAATTTGACATGGCAATTTATAGTACCGGCATCAATAGTCACACAACAAAGGTAAAGCTCACAAAATTTACCTGTTAACTTGTTAAGCAGAGGTAAAAATAAATTTATTTAAATATATATATATATTAAATTATCTGAACGGGCTCGCTTTAACCCAGTAACATTAACTTTGGGTTAAAGTTATTTACCTCTAATGAGTTGTACATTCGAGCCAGGTGGATTCTCTTTCTCCTCTCTTCCAATTAACCTTGTAAATAATTATAAATTGTTAAAAAAAATTATCTATTTA